AATAAATAAATAAATGCCTTTCTCATTCATGCAAACTGTGACCAAGTGCTGATTTTCATGTATGATGATTTGACATCTGCAACCTCAATCTTGCCAAGCTGGATAAGTATTTTCCTTGACAAAGTTTAAAAGAGCGCAAAATACTCAGAGCAGACATGGGTGGTTCTCACTATTTCTCTTTAAAGACAAGGAATAAATTGGAGAGACCTTTGTAGTTAAGTAAACCTATATAAGGGACTTTTCTGAGCTTTCGTTTTATCACCATTTACTTCATAGTGCTTTTGATGAGAGTCAAATGAAATCATGTTCATAAAATGTACATCAAATTGGCCAATTCAAAGCAAGTATTCATTAAATGTTATTTTCCTATCCTTTGAGGAACACAGTTGTCAAGAGCTACCAATACTGTCAAAGTATTACCTGAGAAGGTAGGAGCAACAACTACATCAACCAAATGGCACAACTCTGGATAGTGAAGCCAGTGACAGCAAAGTTATTGGGGAGCCCGGGTCATACTCTAAATATGCAATGAGCCCAGGTTTATAGCAGCAAACCTAATCTCAGATTAGTTCCTAATAATGCTGCTTTGGCTGTAGGGTCCAAAGAGAGCATTAGTGGTATTCAAAGTGGAGCGTAAATATTATAATCACCTGGATACCCTGTTAAGCCTGCAAAGGCTCATGTCCTATCCTTTGTCTATGAATCTAGGTCTTTATTAGCTCTCTTGGTGTTTCTAATATTTATTTATGGATTGGTAATATATTTGCCATAGATATGGCTGAGTTCCCTCCTCTGACTTCAGCCACATCTGAATAAAGGGTCTCAGTGTGCCCTCCAATTTTCGAACAGCAGTGTCTCCAACTTCTCCCTTAGGTCTTCTCTGATGCCAAAGACTGTGGTCAGAATTTCAGCAGGAAAAGTACAAGGCAATGAATCAATGCTTCCTCTCCATCTCAGGTGGACAATTCTAGGAGGCGTTCTGTGGACTTCTCACGAGGTCCCAGTGGAATAATCCATCCTTCCTAGTAGCAATCCTGAAAACACACTTACATCGGACACTTCACCCCATGCAGACCTATTCATTCTACCCTTGCAAACTTCTATTTTCTGGAATCATCTTCCAAATGAACTCTTGCACACAAGTTTTTACCCCACATACTGCCTTTGAGACAACACAAAGTAAGGTAATGTAGTCATAGAAAACGTGTTCAGGAGAAAAGAGATGTTCAGCTTTCAGGCAGACACCTTATAGCACATTCAATAAGAGAGTGAATGAAATAGGTGATATTCAGAAGGACAAGGGGGATTTTGTTTCTAGAGTTGTAGCCAGAACCATACAGTGTTGAAAAAGAAAGCAGGCACAAAACTGGGCCAAGTCTGAATAGTCTGTTTGAGTAGATGACAGGTCAGGTCCAAGATACACAAATGCCAATAAGAGCAAAGGCGTGCCAACATTGAGTAGTTGGAGAACACTGGTATTATGTTGTTAGAGAATCCTAACAACTATGCCCCTGCAACAAAAATGTCCTCAGTTAGTGAACAGTAAAATATTAACCTTTCCTAAAAAGAGACTTAACCTTTACCTTTGATACCTGAAGGTAATTTTTAATCCTTCAAACTGTCTTCACCTGTTTACCTGGAGGCTTTCTCTATCATCTATGAAAGCACTGTGATTTACGGTGCAGAGACTTTGGCAATGTGTTAACTTTGGCCTCTGAAATGGCTGGAGTCTAAAGTCAGTCATGTAGGTAGCCAATCATTCATGTGACCAAGCCCTAAGAAAACTCAGGACAAGAAGCCTGGGGTGAACAACAGTTGGCAATACTCCATGTTTAATGCCATATGTCATTTTTTATTTTATGAAAAATAAAACAAAATTTCATAATAATAAGAGAATAACAATAGTTAATATACTGTGCCTTATCTTCGGAGCAGTTACTAAGAGTACAAGACATAGACAAAAGATTCTTACAAAGAAGGAACAGATAAATATTAGCACAGAGCTTGCTTCTCAATGAACTAAGAGGAACTAGTAATATAACTATATTTCCAAAACTGATATACAAATTTATTGCAATCCCACTCAAAATACCAGTGGCATTCTCACAGATCTAGAGCAAACAATCCTAAAATTCATATGGAACTAGAAGAGACCCAAAATACAAAAAACTATCCTGAAAAGCAGGTGACATCAGAATCCCAGAGTTGAAGTTATACTGTACTGTAAAGCTATGATGATTAAAATAGCATTGTATTGGCATGAAAACAGGCATGTTCATCAATGGAATGACATGGAAGAAGCAGAAATAACCCCAGGCACATATAGCTATTTGACAATGGACAAAGGGATCAAAAACATACACTGGAGGGAGATACCTCTTTAATAAATGGAGCTGGGAAAATTGGATATCCACATGGCATTTCTGAGAAATATTCACTGCCTGCACTACTCCTCTGACAGAGAACAAATGTAAGTTCCATACCTTGATGTCTCCTGGCCTTACCTTATGCTTCTGTTTCTTTTCCTGAAATAATCCATCATGGAATATAATGATTTTTCTGAATACTGAGCGACTCCTTGAACTTGTGTTGGTGTCAGAAGTGAGGGTAATCATGAGGAGTCTCAAATCTTTCAGTTAATATCTGTAAGATCAGAGACATGGAAGGCTTGCTAGCTGATTTCAAAAAAAAGAAAAAGCAATTAATGACTAATATTTAGCCACCACCTTATGTATTATAAGATAGAAGTGTCCCATGACTTTTTTAAAAAATGGGTGCCATATCCTATAAACCAGAATTCAGATCATGAATAGACTAATTCTAGTGGAACAGTCCTGATTTCAGTAAAATTAGCTAGTGGCTAAATTAATATGATCTTGCTTTTTGAACCTTGATAACAATTCTATTTTAGCAAGCATTATCACCATATCTCTCCCTAAAGACATGATTGGAATTGAGGCTACATTGGATTAGTTATGTCCAATTTTTCACAAAGATGCTGATTGCCATCTCACAACCTAGAGAAGATTGGTTTTACAGTTATATTTATATAATTGGTTTTATGAATGTATTTAAATACAGTGCAGATTCCTTCCCTGTCCCATTAAGCTGAGAAGTCTTGCTTGTGTTTAAATTTTTGTTCATCAGTCTGTCTAAAGAAAAAGCCTGAAGATCAATGCTCACTTTATATTTTTTGTCTTTCCTATATCAATTTCAGGAAAATGCCTTGCACATACAATGTTTTCTTATAATAAGGTTTAATGTTATGTTAAGTAAAGAGTCGCTCACATTTCTAATATTTTATCGATGATCTATACGGTGAAGTGCTTTTAAAAGTCACAGCAACAAGACAGTAACAAGTCAAAAAGCAAGCTAAATTTTACTTTTGAATTGTTTACTAAATAATACTAAGATGTAATTCAGGCTTGTCTTTAGTTATTCAAAACTACATAAAATGTAGGAATAGTGTGTATACATGATTAGTAGTGGTGTTTTATAAATTTGTTAGATTAAGATGGAAGAAAATGTATCATCAGTATAGATTTGTAAGTTATATCATGTAAAAGCTTTATGTAAAATTTAAAAAAAATCATTAGAAACTTACTCTTCTGTTACTAATTTTGAACTGTGCACTACGTAGGTATCCAAAAGTTGTAGATTAGGATTAAAAAAAAAAGCAAATAGAATTTGTTACATTTATCAGATTATTGTCTTCCTCTAACATACTAATTAAATGAATTAAAATTTGTATCTATAATTATTATTAAGTAATAATTAAAGCAAGGCTATGGTCTTTTCATAAATCAAAGATATACAATCCAAGTATATTTCTATTATCAAGCTTTTGTCTTTGGTAATTTCTCTTTACATTATGCAGTTTTTTTGTGTGTGGAGTTTAAAAAAGAGCCGAGTCATACATTTGAGAATACTATAGATTGCCAAGATTAAGGGAACGGTCAAACTAGGGTCCCGCCTACCTAATTTAATTTAGGGGTTCTAGACCTTCAGAGACCTTGCTGCTGGGATAGAAAGACATTTTAGAAAGATGGGATGGACTGGCAGCCCTTGGCTGAGTAATTTTTATTCTCTTTCCTGCCAACTGCAATAACATCCACTAGAAGTGATAAGAATACTGCTAAATTTGCTTTAATTAATGTCAGGTCTCTGAGTAATAAATCACCATTAATTCTTGAGTTAGGTTTTTGGAAATGGTCTAGTCTTTTTGGCTGTCACTGAAATTTGGCTGGGAAAGTTTCTTGCTTATAGAAACTTGTCTGGTTGATCATTTTCTTTACTGTTCTGTTTATGAAGATGAGATACCATGTTGCCAGCCCTTTGTATAGACTTACACTTATTACCCACATGATAATTCATTTTAGATATTTTAGCAATGCACATATACCTATACATTAATGAAGTTTTTGAGATGTGTCTCAGAGTTAAATTTCATATATAACGTGGGCTTTTTTAAAGTTTCCACAAATTTATTAAAATTGACATGTTTAATCTCTTCAATGAGCATCCATCCAGCTGCCTGCAATGAAGACAGATTTTAGTGTCTATTTCCAGATTTCAACTCGCAATAGCAATTGGAGAAGACAGAATATCAGATCTTTTCTCATCATCAAGTAATCAGTGAGAGAGTTCAAGTTGAGGTGAGATCATCATGTATTAACATGGGGTTTTTTAAAAAGGGAAAATACCCCTAATTATAGGAAATAATTGCACTTCCTAACTTCATTTTCAGCATTTTCTGATGGCAGTAGTGCTGTATACTTAAAGCCTGTACTTCCTTTGTATCCTCTCTGAATAATTTAGAGGTGTATTTTTGTGTTGTAAAAAAGGGCAGTGTGTATTTGGGCTGCAGTGGTGGTGGTGTGTGTTTGTGGGTGTGTGTGCATGTGTGTGTGTGTATGTGTGTGGTTGAGGTTCCTTTGGGTTTTAGGTATGTCTTTTCTTAATTCAATTGCTTTGAACTGGTTGGTCTGGTCTAGTCTGCCCTTGCATAGATTTCCTTAACTTAGGACCACTTTTGCAGAATAACTACTTGCTTCTGAGATTTCCTAGGGTTTCATTTTCAGCTCAGTTTTGATTTGGATTTCATGTCTCCACTGGGTGACTTTATTATTTTTTGTAGTTTGCACTGTCATATGCAAACAGGAAATAGACAGGTCAAATTCTGGTCTGGGCTGATCCTATAGAAGTTTGATGTTTTGTGTACATATGCCTCCTTGATAGTTAACCATAGGTCATTTGAAATTTTGTTAAATGTAAAAGAGACAAAATAGCATTAGCAATCGATAAAGTCACCAATGTCATGAATCCTGGAGTCTTTCTTAATAGTTTTAATTTGTGTGTGGGTTCTTTAGGTTCTTGGAGAAATGTTGTCTGACCCAAGGTAACATAGAAACTGTTTTCTTAATGCATTATACTGCCACTCAATGAATGTGCTAAGCTACCACATTAGGAATCTGGCCAAACTACTGAGTTGATTTTTAATTAATTTTAGTCAGGGCAGGTGATGGGGGTAGCTAAAAGAGAACTGGGCTGAGAGTCAGAGATCCTGGCACTGACATCTGACACTCACCAGAAATAATTTACTGAACCTCATTTCCACATCCATTAATTCAGTGAGAGGTGGATGATTGGACTACAGGTTCCTCATGTCCTTTCCACTACTAAACATTCTATGAATCATTTTAAATGTTTATCTATAGCCAGTGCATTGCTTATCAATTTCCTTATTTAGTAAGAATCAGAAACAAAGTAAGGGTAAAAAAATTCAATTCATTTATTTTTTTGTTGTTCATACAACTTCTGGCAGTTGATGTTGGATTCGAAAAAGAATTAAAATGTTAATGAAAACAAAGACAGAAATTATTTATGGATTTGTGAATTGATGTAGTGTGTTAGTTAGCTTTCCATTATTATGACAAAATACCTGAGACAATCAGCTTAAAAGGAAAAAAGGTTTATTTTGGCTCAAGGCTTCAGAGGTTTCACTCCATGATCACCTGGTTGCATTGCATTAGGTTTGTAGTGGCACAGTCCATACTGGTAGAACATGTGGTGAAAGAGGCCTGTTCACCTTATTTTACCCAGAAAGCACAGAGATGAAAGAGCAAGGGTGGCAATATCCCCTTCATGCACACAATTCTAATAATTTCACTTCTTCCAACTAAACCCCAACTCTTACCCATTCTGTAACCTCCCAACATGGCCAGAGACTGAGGGCCAAGCCTTCAACACAGGGCCTTTGGGGACATTTCAGACCCTAACTACAACACATTGCATCTTTTAAGCTATCATGGACAAGTTAGAATTGAATGATTCTTTCATAGTATCTTTACTAAAGAAATTCATATTTTTCGATTTTCTTTGGCTACAATAATTTCTAAGTACTCTCTATGCAGTCATTACTTAAAATTCTCATGAAGCAACTAGCTTCTTAAAAGCTTTGAGCTTATTCATCCCTCAACTGTGATTATCAAAGCCTCATTTGCATCTAATCAAAAAGCACAACTATATCAATGTCTTGTTATACTTAAATGATTTTCTAGCTTCATTACAGCAGTGATTTTTGTGGGATAAGGGTGGAAACTATAGAAAAGAGAAGATTGAGGAGAACTGTGTAACATTCTTTAAGATATGAGTGGTATGGATTGTTTTAATTGCCTCCTCCTCACCCCACTGCAAAGGGAGGGATTCCATCCTGGGGTGGTGGGGTTGGCCAAATACCTAGCATCTGGTACAGGGGAGATGAGCCTCACATCAGTTTTTTACTCATATGTAATTACCGTGCAGGGGAGAAGGACACTGCTTCCTGCTCAGGATCACTCAGGACAGAGTGAACCATCAGGGGCTGGAGAGGCAGTGTCCCGATTACCCCAATTGGATGTGATTGACTTGGCTGAAATCCATAGGAAGGCAGCAAGCTAAAACCCACTACTCAGAGATAAACCGAAATTGTGTTGGACCCTTCACTAAGGAGAGTTATTTAGTGGGGGACCTTATTTACAGGAGCAGAGTAAGGAGTTGGAACAATTGAGCTTTTCCACTTTTAGCAGATGTTAAGCAGTAAAGTACATGCATATATGAGGTTTTATTTTTTTATGCTAAAGCAAATTGATGAGTATTAGGCAGACCATATTTAAATAAAGCATAGGGAAGTTATATCATAGGAGATATGATTCTTTTGAAAACCTCTCAGAAGATTGAAGATTTAATGAGTGACATCAACATCCAGGAGAAATTTCTTATTTGGATAGAAAGAACTGGATGTATATTACGTACTTTCAGTTTTAAACTTTTATGATTCTTTATCATCTGATTGATTAATACTGCTTATTTTTCTCATGGACTTTAAAAATATCTTTCTCTGTTTTTAATTTTTATTTTTGTTCCAAAGCTTTTCTGCCTAGATAATCTACGCTCTTTCTACATTATACAAGCCTAAACTTGGCATTGCTAGTGTTTGTTTTCCTTAGCTTTCACAGTGCTAATTTGTATTTATAATTTTAGGTTTGCTCAGCCCTTTTGTGTATAAGAAAATGCTGTGTAAATGGTAATTCAATAAATTGATTTGTAAATATTAGGTACATAAATTACAACCCCTTTTATAATGAGAAGAACCTGTTCTAAATAATAGCATGGGGATGGAAATAATGCTATTGAAAGGCTATTTTTCAATTAATGCTACTGGGAGTTACAGTCCTTTAGGAGGGTTATAATGTACTTACAGTGATTTACTTGTCTCAGTTTGCCTGGTACTTTTTTTAAAGTACTGCATCCTGGGAAGACTGTTGGTCCTACACAAACCAGAATGATGTCACCCTACTTCTGATTCAGCAGGTCATAAAGAGATGAAAGGCGATTGTTATATTATTTTGTAGAAGTGCTCTATTTGTGACTCTATCTTTAGCCAGCAAAAGATTTCTGGGTGTGTAGTAGGTTTTCAAAAATATTTGGTGATGTAAGACTAAGAATATGCCTAAGAGGCAATACCTAATGAATTCAGAACTCACTGAAAGATCATCCAAAACTCCTAGGGATATGATATGAAATAGTGCTCTGATTTGAAGATATCCAGAAAAGTATACTGAATCAAAGGAAATGAATGAATGGTCCAAAATGTGAATGTGGGTTAGTTTGTAATGAATAATTGTTGAAACTACCAAGTTAAAAAGTGAAATGCTTGTTTATCATATTTCTCAAAGCATTATTTGTGACATTTTCAAACCTCTGAAATCACCAACTTCACCAAACCTTTGATGACAGTAACACATAACCACTTGAGTCTGATGCTGGAAGAAACCCACACTTGAGAAGGAACTCTGAGGCTACCTGCTGCAGTCTGGCCAGCAGAGGGCGTTGGTGCACCTACACAGAAAGCAGGGTCCACACTGGGGTGAATCCTCATGGTCAACAAGATGCCTCTCTGAAAGTGCTGAAAACTAAACACAGTGGGAAAATGTTTTATGCGGGAAAACACTGAAACCACTCTATACAAGCACAATGCCATTTTGCACAAGTCATGGTTAGCTCGTGAACAGTCTGTAACCCACAAATATATGCAGTGTCAGAATTTTACTTTAACCTAAAATAAAACAAGAAAATATTCCAGTAACCAATCATTCCTGAGGACCAGTACAATAACTATAAAACTAAAAAACACTATTCAAATTAAAAAATAGATTGTACAACGTCTAAAGATGTGCCTAAAATTAATTACATTTCTAGTTTCTGATGATGACATCTAACATGTTTAGTCCCTTCAACCTTCCTGCACTATTTAAAACGTATTAGCCTGGTACAACATTTGAGTATGTGACCTACTTTTGGGTTACATATAAGATACCAATGTCACAGACTGATTAATTTAGGCATACATAGCTGGATAGATGGGAACCAGTTATTCTGGAATAAGTCTGTTTTTGTCTGCTCTTACCTATGACATCCTCCAGTTACATACTACCTATTAAATAACATATTATATTTGTCATCATTACCATCCTTTTAACCAATGACACAAACTTCTTACAAATATTAAAGAAAATCACCAAAGCTAAACTTGGCTATCTGACTTGTGTACCAATGTGTCAAATTGACCTACAAATATTAAATCGGAAAAAAATAAAAACAGAACATGTTGTTTTCCAAATAGCAAAAATGTTGTATATGTGTACAAGAAAGAAATATATCTCTAGATGGAGTTAGGCTTTTTTTAGTACTTTAATAAAGTACTTTCCTAATACATTAAGAAAGTGCAAGGAGAATCTTTGCAAATGAGAACATAATGGTGCATGGAGGGAGAGTCTGGACTGCTGAGAGACATTTCATTTCCTCTGGTGAACAGGAAGAGGAAGATGAAGTCTCTGGTGACTCCTCCCAACCTGCCTGCAGCAGTGTGACATTGTTGGATGCCTTTTCTAACTTTCATTTTTACCAAGATAGTGACAGCTGTTTGGCTTCTCCCACTGGACCCTGCAGTCATTTGTTACCCCACAACAAAATATGGTTGATCACAGTTAGGGAAAATGGGTTCTGTGACTTGGCATTTATATTCTGCCCGAGTTATGCTGGGCTCCATTATCAGAAAATGAAACAAAAACAAAAAATCACACATGAACACACAAATCTCTTGCAGGAACCCCTGTCCCTGTCCCTAAAAGCAAAATGACAAATCCACAGCAAAGCTATTGGAGGTGTAAATTCACTTGAGAATGACATGCGTTTCACCCTCCATCAGGAACAGATCTTGCTCAAGCACCGTCACCTAACGGGCTGTTGGCTGGCCTTGACTACTGGAAACTCAAATCCAATGTGTTCTTTGGATTTGTTTATATCCATACATATGTTTAACAGAAATTGATTTTTTAAAGGAGACTTCTTAAAAGCAGCAACCAATAAAGCTCGAAAATGACTAAACAAATAGTTTAGAAAGCACTACTGCTTATTACATTAAGTGCCTAGAAACAGTGCTCAGCTGTAACTAAAATGAGATACTGGGATTTCTAACATATCTCTTCTGGTCATGAACAATGAAAAGGTGTTGACCCTGATTCATTCTGTCATTATTTATATTTTCATCCTACCTGATTTCCCTCTGCTTTCTTTTTTTTTTTATGTTCTCAGCCTCAGTGTAGTCACTTCCTTGAGTTAAGATAGATCTGCTAATTAGAAGAATTCCTAGTCTATTTACAATCATATAGGGTACTGCCCTTTTCAGTGGAATTTCCACAGCTTGTATTTTTGTTCTTATTTATTAGTATACACTGCCTTACAAAAACTGAACATGTGAAACTGCTCCATTTCTGTAAATATGCCTATTTTAACTCGTGATGTTATACAATTTCTTCTCATCTTTGCTATTGCAGTCAGTCCAAATTGGAATTATATTTTCCTGTAGCACAATGAACTTATTCTTTCTTGCGCTTATCAAACTATATTCCAATTTGTTAGTTTGCATACCATTTATTCCCCATTAGATGGTAAACTCAGGACAGGATTAATGCCATTTTTATTTGTTCATTCATGCAACCAATAAATATTTTATCCATGCCTCACTATTTGTTGAATACCTACTATGTGCTAGGCATCCTTCTCCCCAGTTTAGGATCAAAGCAGATGTTTTTCTTGCAATCATTATGTAAGGATTGAATATATAGTCTAATGAGGCAGGGAGACATTAATCAAATAGTCAAACAAATAAAATGTATAATAATTAAATGTCTTGAAAGAAAGGAAGGTACATGACACCATGAGAACAATTAAATCTAGTCAGGGGGCGATGTCAGTGACAGAGAAGAATTCTCTGAGCAAGTGACTTCTGAGCTGATATCTGAAAGGTGACTAAAAGTTAATTAGAGAAAGAAGTGGAAAAGAACATTCCAGGCTACAAAGCAACATGCTGAAAGTTGCAAGGGAGACATTTGCAAAATGAAAGAAAGGTATTGTAGTTAGATCCTAGAGAATGTAGAAAAGAAGGGGAAATGGAAGTTGGATAAGTCAGTATGAACTGCATTGTGTAGGGTATTGGGAGTTGTTTTAGGGAAGCTGCCTCTTGTCTCATGAAGAAGGGAAATCTAGTGGGAAGTATTCAGTAGGGGAGGGAGATCATGCAGGGAGAAATTGCTGTGGCTCCAGCGCAGAGCATGGATTGGATGGAGTCAGAGTGAGCCTAGAGATTTACTAATGTAGCTTCTGCAGCAAATCGGGAAAGGAATGATAGAGTTTTGAATTGGACAGTGGTGGTAGAGATGTAATAGAAAGTGCCACAGTGCTGAAATGAAACTAGGTCCATATAATTTCCAACAAAGAAAATCTTACCAGAAGTGTATGTTTATTAGTACTGAACTTTGCTAAAATTTTCTCACTGTGTATCTTGGTCACTACTGTGTTTTCAGCTCCCAGCCAAACTAGGACACTGTTCAGGGGCAAAAGGAAGAGAGTATGAAAAGAAATTCAGAAGAAAGTATATATTTTATGAGGCTTTTATTAGAAAGAAAAAAATCTTTGTATGACTATCACCATACAAAATTTCTGAAATGTTGCCAGTCTCTGACAGAAAGTAGCTTTGAAATTGAATGTAAAGTTTAACTATTTGTTATTGCTTTATGTAGTGGTCATTTCTAGTGTTAGGTTGGAGAGGATGTTGTGGCCAGGTTTGGGTTCCTTTAGTACCCCTGCCACTGGTATGTTGCATAAAAAAGGGGATGAAATGGGCACCACAACCTCTTCTTCTATAGGTTATGCTATGGTTACTTCCTGAACCACAAAATGATAGAAATGCTGTTTACTATGTGTGAAGTTTATTTCAGTTTCTTTCTTTTTCACATATTTTATACCTATGTATACTTGTGCTGCATGTGCTCAGATGCTACACACTTGCACATGCTCACGTGCACTTACATTTCATTTTCTAGATCAGAATTATATGATCTGTATTTACAGAATTACTTACTAAAAAGAACATGATCATTACATCTATATCAATGGATCTCATTTTTGACTACATATCAAATTATAGCCACTGTATATAATGTGCTTCAAAGACAAATGCTTAGCTCCTTTTTTCCTATGGAAAAAGGATAAATTGGGATATATTCAAGGATGCCCCAAACTCTCCAAAAGCACCATTGTAGGACGGAGATCAATGTCTGTTTGTTCCACATCTATTCCCTACTATTGATCCATTGCCTCCTTTTTCAGCAGCTTTTTTTAACTTTCATATTATTTAATAACTATTGTTCATAATAGAAAGTTCTACTTCACTGATGATCTGACCTTAATTCCTCTCTCTACAGTGTACAGACTCTGTAAGGGTCCTCAGCTTCCTTCCGTGTTGACCTCAAAACTTCTCAAATAGGTGCTGAAAAAGTTTATTTTTTTGGTTCATCCTCTTTGGCATTTTTCTTAGAAGATCTCCAAAGAATTAAATGTGCATATGGTCCCCAAAAGTTCAGAAGTTCAGCCTGGCATTTGAAGCTCTGAACATGTTCTATCAACATAGGGAACAACAGAGTTAATTCCCTCTGTCTTTAAAAGATGATATTAATTGCTCCCAAATTCCCAAGTGCAAGAAGTCTAAGCAGGTACGTGCAAAGCTAATTCCCATCAGCCCCTGCACATCAAGACCCAACAGGAAATCCCAAGTGAAAATATTAATCCCTTGGCATGTTTAATTTGCCCCAGTACAACAATGTTGAGGGTCAAATGATGACATTTGCAGCAAGAATATGACATCATACTGCTTCTGCCTACTATTGTATCATTACGGTATAATCTGTAAGAATGTTTAAATGAATATTGATTTGTATGTATTTATACAGCAGAAAATATATAGTGAAATAAAATAAAAAGAATTGTGCTAGTGACTTTGGGTGCTTGTCTCTAACTGGTTATTTTGGCCCAACAGGGGAAAATGTACTTCCCTGACCTTGCAATTAGGCTAAACTATACAACCAGTCCCTGGCAAAGTCTTGTGAGAAGTGACATATGTTGTGCTGTCACTTCCAGGCCTAAGTATTTAATTGCTGCTGTGAGCATTCTCTTTTCCTGCTGCACTGACTGAGAAAGTGCATGCTGCAGCTGATGCAGTTATGGTGTGGTATGGTATGGTAGAGAGAAGCCCAGCTGAGATCACTGAGATAGTCTGTGACTGGGTGGACAACAGATCCTAGATGCTAGAGAGAGTAACCAGAAGCCCACGGCAGAATTTTCAGGAATAAGAAATAAATGTCTACTCTGTTAAACCACTGAGATTTGGGGTTTGCTACTATAGCATACTTGTGTTATCCTGATTAATGCAGGAACTTTGGAAACGCTATTAAGTTTTTATCAAATGCAACAGTTGGAGACAGTGGCACCCAATACCAAAAACTGAACAAGAAATCACAACAAATAATGGAAATCGACATCTATTCCCCTGGTAATAGTTTGGTTTGGCCCTTGG